GTCACACTTGAATAAAAATTGTCCACATATAAGTGGTACCCTATATAGAAAAAGGATAGCACCAAGTCCCAAACAATCTTTCCACTGCTCCCCATGTAGTCTGGGAAGCCGGGGGCTACATGTGACTATTTTTTTCCCTCGTAATTCCGAAACTTATACAGTCAGGTCCATAAATATTGGGACATCGACACAATTCTAACATTTTTGGCTCTATACACCACCACAATGGATTTGAAATGAAGCAAACAAGATGTGCTTTAACTGCAGACTGTCAGCTTTAATTTGAGTATATTTACATCCAAATCAGGTGAACGGTGTAGGAATTACAACAGTTTGCATATGTGCCTCCCACTTGTTAAGGGACCAAAAGTAATGGGACAGAATAATAATCATAAATCAAACTTTCACTTTTTAATACTTGGTTGCAAATCCTTTGCAGTCAATTACAGCCTGAAGTCTGGAACGCATAGATATCATCAGACACTGGGTTTCATCCCTGGTGATGCTCTGCCAGGCCTCTACTGCAACTGTCTTCAGTTCCTGCTTGTTCTTGGGGCATTTTCCCTTCAGTTTTGTCTTCAGCAAGTGAAATGCATGCTCAATCGGATTCAGGTCAGGTGATGGACTTGGCCATTGCATAACATTCCACTTCATTCCCTTAAAAAACTCTTTGGTTGCTTTTGCAGTCTACTTTGGGTCATTATCCATCTGCACTGTGAAGCGGAATTCATCCTGCTGCTTCTGTCAGCAGTCACATCATCAATAAATACAAGAGAACCAGTTCCATTGGTAGCCATACATGCCCACGCCATGACACTACCACCACCATGCTTCACTGATGAGGTGGTATGCTTAGGATCATGAGCAGTTCCTTCTCCATACTCTTCTCTTACCATCACTCTGGTACAAGTTGATCTTGGTCTCATCTGTCCATAGGATGTTGTTCCAGAACTGTGAAGGCTTTTTTAGATGTCGCAAACTCTAATCTGGCCTTCCTGTTTTTGAGGCTCACCAATGGTTTACATCTTGTGATGAACCCTCTGTATTCACTCTGGTGAAGTCTTCTCTTGATTGGTGACTTTGACACACATACACCTACCTCCTGGAGAGTGTTCTTGATCTGGCCAACTGTTGTGAAGGGTGTTTTCTTCACCAGGGAAAGAATTCTTCGGTCATCCACCACAGTTTTCCGTGGTCTTCCGGGTCTTTTGGTGTTGCTGAGCCCACCGGTGCGTTCCTTCTTTTTAAGAATGTTCCAAACGGTTGTTTTGGCCACGCCTAATGTTTTTGCTATCTCTCTGATGGGTTTGTTTTGTTTTTGCAGCCTAATGATGGCTTGCTTCACTGATAGTGGCAGCTCTTTGGATCTCATCTTGAGAGTTGACAGCAACAGATTCCAAATGCAAATAGCACACTTGAAATGAACTCTGGACCTTTTATCTGCTCATTGTAAGTGGGATAATGAGGGAATAACACACACCTGGCCATGGAACAGCTGAGAAGCCAATTGTCTCATTACTTTTGGTCCCTTAACAAGTGGGAGGCACATATGCAAACTGTTGTAATTCCTACACCGTTCACCTGATTTGGATGTAAATACCCTCAAACTAAAGCTGACAGTCTGCAGTTAAAGCACATCTTGTTTGTTTCATTTCAAATCCATTGTGGTGGTGTATAGAGCCAAAAATGTTAGAATTGTGTAGATGTCCCAATATTTATGGACCTGGCTGTAAGTATAGTCTGCTGCCCTCTCACAGGTCTTATACATCTTGACCCCATATCTGGCACGCTTGCTGGGGAGAAATTGTTTAATGCAAGGCGGACAGAAAAATTAATGAGGGACTCATCAATGCATATTTTTTGCTGGGGAGTATAGACATCTGCAAATGTTTGCTTAAGGTGATTTACGAGGGGCTGAATTTTTGTGAAGCCGGTCAAATTCAGGGTCACCCCGAGGACCCCATGGGTTTCCATTTGAATGGTCTGGCAAGGTTTGAATTTGGGTTGGCGGCAATAAATTGTTGTGGATATAAATTGCTTTGATCCACAATCAATGCATACTGATCCTCTGTGAAAAACAGCTCCAAAAAATCAAGTGGAGTAGTTTAATTTGCTGTTTCCAGCTGAATTCCAGGTTGGGCAGTGAATGGGGGAAATATGGGTGCTGCAGAATTTGTGGGCTGCCAATCAGGATTTTATTATTGGTGGTTGTGGGACAATACTTGTGCTTGCCACTGCACCAGCTTGTACTGCACTTATGGGACTCGCCATGTCACCAAGTGATACTGCAGTGATGGTATGTGAAAGACCAGGATGTACTAGATAGCTGGTACTCGCCAGTTCACCGAAAGGTAGAGCGGCACTAGTACTGGCACTCTGCTGCATATGTGAGTCATCAAAATTTACCACCAAGTGCTAACAGAGATCAGGCCTGATTCTGCGAACACTGCGGTTTTGTGTGCAATGTATCAAGTGACAGTGACCTACTGACACTGCACTTGCTGGGGGAGAAGGGGGAGGGGCAAGCGTAGGGGCTAAACGCAGGTGCTGGCAGGTACTGGGGCTGATCCTGCTAACGCTGCATTTTTGGGGACACTATACTAATGTGAACGCTGGTATAGTGCTGATCTGATCAAAGATATTGATCTGTTCAGACACTATACTAGCAATGGAGGTTTATTGTGTATGACCGTGTTCCTGGCAATCGAGGGGTTAAATGTGATGACTGGTGTACTGACTGGCAATATGACACTATCTGGAAGAGGCGTGAAATCCGCAGGAGCAGGAATCACTTATATATATGTGATTTTGCGCACCTGTGCCACCCTGTAGCAGTATTTATGCTATAGGGCGGTCAGGAAGAGTTTAAAGAAGGGGTTTGCGATATGGCGCTGCGTTACTTTAGCTGATAATAGCGCAGTAATGCAATGATTCACCCAAATAAAATTTATGTTCTTTTTTTCCCACAAATTGAGCTTTCTTTCGGAGGTTTTTGATTGCCTGTGTGTTGTTTTATTTTTTGTGCTATAAAAAAAAAGACCGACTATTTTGAGAAAAAAAAAACAATATTTTGGACTTTTTGCTATAAAACATGTCCAGTAAAAAAAATAAAAAATCAAATTTCGTCATAAATTTAGGATAAAAAGTATTCTGCTCCGTGTCTTTGCTGAGAAAAATCCCAATACGTGTAAATTAATTGGTTTACATGAAAGTTATAGTATTTACAAATGGCAATATAGATACTGGAACACAAATGATGCAGCGCTACTACCATAAAAATACTTCACACATAAATGAATAAGTGGAACAGTGCAAAATTAAACATAAACCCACAATATTACCAAAAAAACTCACAAATAATTATGTGTGACAGGTGTCAATACGAGGTCCTAAAAGGACCAAATAACATAAATGGTGCCCCAAGTAATCCAATAGGATCCAATAGTGCTCCAAAACAAACAAGTAAGTCACAACAGGACTCAAAGTGCTAAAAAACCTCCAACCGGAACTAAAAAACAGTTCCCACCATATAACACAAAACACACGTGCATCCCAATAAACGCATAACCTAAGAACTGATCATGCAAACAAACATGAATAAATGAATAAACATATAAAGTCCCGTGAGGTGAAAAACACCTGACAATAAACAAAAAAAATATATAAAGTCCACAGCAATTCTTGAAAAAAATGTGCTGATAAATGTGCAGAGATATCCACAAACGGCTGAATTGCCCGCTCACCTCCCTCTTGCGACCCACACAGGTCATAAGGCCTTCAGGATCACTAACACATGGACCCTAATAGTAGGTCATCCTCCACAGCTCTCCACACTGACCTCCCCTCATGTACAGATTCCAGCACAGGATCACAGGGCAGCAGATCTCCTCTTCAGGCACATAAGGTGGCTGCAGCCACTGGATCCCTCAGGAAATAGAAGTGAATGCTTGCATCGTGTCACACTATTTATTCACCAAACAAAGTATCACATATGGAATACGCTCACATTGTACATCATCTTGTACATCACATGTCAATCAAACCTCAGATCACATGTACTTCATGGGTGTCCAATGTAAATAAAGAAGGCGTCCGACCGGAAGTGCGTCACCGCCAACGCGTATCATCACGCTTAACACGTGACTTCATCAGGGCCCTGAAGAGGAGATCTGCTGCCCTGTGAGCCTGTGCTGGAATCTGTACATGAGGGGAGGTCAGTGTGGAGAGCTGTGGAGGATGACCTACTATTAGGGTCCATGTGTTAGTGATCCTGAAGGCCTTATGACCTGTGCGGGTCGCAAGAGGGAGGTGAGCGGGCAATTCAGCCATTTTTGGATATCTCTGCACATTTATCAGCACATTTTTTTCAAGAATTGCTGTGGACTTTATATATGTTTTTTTTGTTTACTGTCAGGTGTTTTTTTCACCTCATGGGACTTTATATGTTTATTCATTTATTCATGTTTGTTTGCATGATCAGTTCTTAGTTTATGCGTTTATTGGGATGCACGTGTGTTTTGTGTTATATGGTGGGAACTGAATTTTAGTTCTGGTGGGAGGTTTTTTAGCACTTTGAGTCCTGTTGTGACTTACTATTTGTTTGTTTTGGAGCACTATTTGATCCCATTGGATTACTTGGGGCACCATTTATGTTATTTGGTCCTTTTAGGCCCTCGTATTGACACCTGTCACATGTGATTATTTGTGAGTTTTTTTGGTAATATTGTGGGTTTATGTTATTTGTGTCACCTATTTTGCACTGTTTCACTTATTCATTTATGTGTGAAGTATTTTTATGGTAGTAGCGCTGCATCATTTGTGTTTCATTTATATTTTTTGTCTATGGGTATATGACTGTATGTAGCAGCTTTACCTTTGTTGGTAGGTATTAGTTTTTAGGTAGGAGCGCAGGAGCTTGTCACAATTAAATTAATATAAATAATGGAATTTTTTATACTAATAATGGCAGCAATCAACGACTTATGGCAGTGATCAGCGACTTATAATAGGACTGCGGCGGACATTCTGACACTGGGGGGGGACTGACTTGGTATCACTGATATCCCCAGTGACACCAATACAGTGATCAGTGCTAAAAAAAAGCACTGAAATTATACTAATGGCACTGGGCTGGAAGGGGTTAACAATGAGGGGCAATCAAAGGGTAACTGTGTGATGGGAGTGTTTTAATGGGGGGCGGGGGGGTGTGATTCACTGTAAGCACACTGCTCTGCATGGCTCTGCTCAGCCATCCACAGCAGTGTGCCCAAACTGACAGGGAGGAGGACTGTTGGTAAACTAAGCAGTCCTGCTCCCTATTGGTGATCGCCAGTAATCACCGGGCGCCGACGGGTAATCACAGGCTGGGACCCAGTGATTGACACCCGTGGCCATGAATGGAGGGGGACCCTACCCGGAAATGCAAAATGGCATTTATATACGTGATTTTGCGCACAGCAGACACCCTGTAGCAGTATATCTACTATAGGGTGATCCTTAACCACTTGCCTACCGGGCACTTATACCCCCTTCTTTACCAGGCCAATTTTCAGCTTTCAGCGCTGTCACACTTTGCTTGACAATTGTGCAGTCATGCAAGATTGTACCCATATGAAATTTTTATCATTTGGTTCTCACAAATAAAGATTTTTTTTGGTGGTATTTAATCGCTGCTGAACACTTTATTTTTTTTTTTTTGCGCTATAAACAAAACATTTGAAAAAAATTTGAAAAAAAAAATTTCTTTGTTTCTATTATAAGATTTTTCAAACAGGTAATTTTTCTCCTTTCCTGATGTGCGTTGATGAGGCAGCACTAATGGGCATTGATAGGCGGCACTGATAGGCAGCACTGAAGGGCACTGATAGGCAGCACTGACAGGCAGCACTAATGAGGTGGCATGGATAGGCGGCACTGATAGGAAGCACTAATGAGGTGTCACAGATAGGCGGCACTGATAGGTGGCACTGATAGGCGGCACTGATGATGGGTGCTGATAGACAGCACTGATAGGTGGCACTGACTGGCATCACTGCTGCACACTGACTGGTGGCGCTGCTAGGCATTGACTGGCGCAACTGATGGGCACTGACTGGCACAACCGCTGGGCACTGACTGGTGGCACTGACTGGCAGCACTGCATTTATGGGCACTGGTGGGCACAGATGGGTGGCACTGGTGGGCACAGGTGGATGGGCACAGGTGGGCGGCACTGCTGGGCACAGGTAGGTGGCACTTTTGGGCACAGGTAGGTGGCACTGCTGGGCACAGGTGGGTGCACTGCTTGGTGGCACTGCTGGGCACTGGTGGGCGGCACTTCTGGGCACAGGTGGGTGGAACTGGTGTGTGGCACTGCTGGGCACCGATCATCAGGGCACTGATCATCAGTGCCCTGATGATCGGTGCCGATCCCCACTCTGACAATTGCCGAGTCTCGGCAGTACTTTCCTCACGCTCTGACAGTGTGAGGAAAGTGCAGCAGAGAACTGGCAATTACATTTCCCAGTGATCAGCGTGTCATTGGACACGGCTGATCACGTGGTAAAAGGCCGCTGTGATTGGCCTTTTACCAGATCACGTGATCAGCTGTGTCTGTAGGACATAGTGATCACGGAGATCACCGGGTACGTGCCCCAGGGGGCATGCAGGAGAGCGCGTTCTGGGAGGATGTCATATGACGCCCTCCCAGAACTAGCCGGCCGCAGTGTAGCTGTCATTCGGCTATCTGCAGTTGGCAAGAAGTTAAAGACTTAACAAATGTTTGTTGTCTATTTACTATTGTCATTTTCTTTTTGTATATTAAGAGATCTGCAAGGCCTCTTATTTTAAAGGGGATTCCAGATTCTAAAAAGTCACCCCATGCCCCCCCCCAACCACCAGGTCAGGGTTGTGGGGAACAGACTATTAGCCTCATCAACATGGGGCCACCTACTTTGAGGACTAGTGGATTGCTATGGTTTAAAGTAGTTGTAAAGGCTTTTTTTACCTTCATGCACTCTATGCCTGTAGAAAAATTTCAATGTTTCCCAGCGCCCCCCAATACTTACCTGGGCTCCATCTCAGTCCAGCAATGTGCACAAGAACAGTGGGTCTCCTGGCTTTCTCTATCCTCATTGGCAGACACGGTGACACAGCCGTGAGAGCCATTGGCTACAACTGCTGGCAATCGCATCCAGTGAGGAGGGAGTGGGGGGCAGGGTTGAGCTGAGCCATGCTTTGTGTGTATCTTGATCCAGCGATGTGCACGAGAACAGCGGCTCTCCCAGCTCTCTCTATCCTCATTGGCACAGACAAAGCAGTGGGAGCCATTAGCTCTAATTATTTTCAACCACAGCCAGTGAGGAGGGAGTGTGGGGGGGGGGGGCTGGCCATGCTTTGTGTGTCTTATGGATACACAGAGAGAGACTTGGGAGTGAGAATGCACAAGTACTCCCATAACAAGTGGCTTGCTATGGAAGCACTTGGTGGGGAGGGGGATTCGGGATCGCCGTTTGGGGACCCGAAAAGAGTAGGATCAGGGCTGTACTTTGCAAAATCATTACACAGAGCAGGTAAGTATGACATAAAGTACATCATAAAAAATACATTTACAATCACGTTAAGAGGAGAGGGCAGTGCAGCTTGGATTAGGGTCTGGTAATAATGTTAGGGAGATCCCTTGCCATTTGTTTTGCATGGGACTCCTGAACTTCATTAGAGATTTAGAGGTGAAGGTTTTTGGAGACCTTTTGTCCTTTTGGGGATAATTGATTTGCAGTTCCGGCTCTTCTTGATTTCAGTGGGGTTGGTCCATCTCAACCGTACATACAGGAATACCAGATGCCACCTTGTAGACATCCAGTGTCTGAGCACAAAGAATTATTCAGTATGAGGAAACAGAAACATTTTCTTGTTTAGCAGGATAACAACTAGAAGCTCCATGAATGGTCTCATGATTGCTGAAAGCACGCCATTATCAGATGTTATTTTTATCTCCGTATTTTCCAATATAAGAGTTTGCACAGAATAAGTGTTTGTTAACCATTTCAGCTTTTGTATCTTTATGCTCCATGTGTACCACTATGTGTCTGTTTAATTCAGCAATATTTCATTACTTAACCACTTGCCCTCTGGAAGATTTGACCCCTTTCATGGCCAGGGTATTTTATTGCTATTCAGCACTGCGCTACTTTAACTGGAAATTACTTGGTCCTGAAACGCTGCATCCAAACAAAATTTATATCATTTTTTTCACACAAATAGAGCTTTCTTTTGGTGGTATTTGATCACTGCCAGGATTTTTTTTATGTGTTTGCTATATAAATGAAAATAAAACCCGTACATTTTGAAAGACAAAAAAAAAAACATTTTCTACTTTCTTTTTTTTTTCCATAAAGTTTATTAATAAATTCAGAACATACAATAGGTACAGGTAATACAAGGTATCAGTCAGAAGTACAATAGGAGGTAATACACATACAGCAAACAAAAAGATACATAGCAATACATAGGCAAAGAATCAGACGTAAGTCATCCCAGGGAAAAGAAAACATGAGAGAAATGAGAACATGTAAACGCAGGAATATTAAAGGCATATCTGGTCTCAAGCCCTTATTCAGCATATTGGAATCACAGCACTGGCAGGGTCAATGATATATAACCTCAGTTACTGAGCAGCAGCAAAGAGCAGGGCCAGTGAGTCAAAGGTATGCATTGGAAATGTATACAGCAGGTGTGGGGGGGGTGCAAGGGCTTGTAGGATAGGGCCTTTTACTTTTGATGAAACTGAGATAATCCACTACAGGTTGCAAGCACGTGGGTAAAGGGTTCAGGAAAGGAGATATGTAAAAGTAAAACACATGTGCAGCTGGATTGCAGATAGGGAGTAGGGCTCCTATGCGTACAGAAGTGTA